AATAATTTAATTTTTAATTTTTGAAGTTTATTTTTAATGCATTATACTTAAATATGCATAATACTAAGCAGTATTCTTATGTATTAATAAATAGTGTTATTAAATATTATTATATATTTATTCTTATTATATATATTTTTTTGCAATCCATAATTTAGGTTGAAATGAGTGCTGGGCAATGATTAATTGCGATTAATCGCATCCAAAATAAGTTTTTGTTTATATAATATGTGTGTGTACTGTGTATATTTATTATGTATGTATAAAGTCACACACATACGGTATATATTTTGAAAATATTTACATGTATTTACATGTGTATATTTGTATTCATATAATTTATATTATATATATAAATATATTTAATATATACACAACATATTTTTCTTAAATATATACATGCAAGTGTGTGCATTTATATATACATAATAAATATACACAGTACACACACATACCTTGACTTCAAATCAGCATATTAGAATGATTTCTGAAGGTTCATGCGACACTGAAGTAGTGGCTGCTAAAGCTTATATAAATAATATATACAATTTACAATAAAAAAAATACATTTATTACCAGTTGTTATAAGTGGTAATAAAATTTCACAATATTACACCTTTTTTAGTGTAATTGTTGATCAAATAATTGCCGTTTTGGTGAGCATAAGAGACTTAAACATTTTTTTTACAAAATCTTTCCAATCCCTCAATGTTTTTCACATTATCAAAACAAAAGCAACATTTATTCTATAATTTGAAAAATTATTGTTATATATATTGTTATATTGTGTTTATAGATTGTTAAAATCTTATCACATTGCATAAATGTATCATGGAATTCAAGATATCTGCAGACCTTAACCCAAGGCACAATTCAAAGAAGCATGTCAGGTCATGAAGAGGTGCCGCAATTATTTAAAGTGAAATATCTGAAATATTAAGTAGAAGCCACAGTTTTCCATCTGTGTTTAAGCATATGTGATGTATTAGGACATGTGCAGAGAACCAAGTAAGAAAAATGGAAAGAACTCTGCTTCTGGTTTCTACCAGCCCTCTCCATGGTTTCGACAGAGACTGGCTGTATGTTTTGGGTCGCTCTGTTACAGTATTATTACAGTATAAGGTGTCAAGGGTATTAACAATTTAATGAATATGCAATAGACGTTTTCTCATATGGTCAGCGTTATGGCATATTAATGATAAAAAAAATGATTTTTAGGGTACATTTCAGCTTTTGAATCACATTAGATTGGATGAGTCATGGACTTGGACTGGAAGCCTCGGCTCTGTTAGAGCTCTCCTGAGCAAACATAATACTGTGGTTGAACTAAAACACTTTTAAATTGTAATCTTTGCAAATCTGTTGTAGATACTGAGCCTTGGCTTTGCAGGGCTCTTGGACCCAACGTTCCTTTCATGATGTTGTTTGGTTTGTTTTGTTTAAGCTCTAAGACACTGGGAAATCTGTTTTTGTTTCTCAGAATAAAGATTTGGCCAACGGAAAAGCCAGTGATGATGAGGATGAAGAGGCAGAGGCAGAGGATGTGGAGGTCAAGGCATCTAAAGAAGAGGTCAGTGTGGAAGATGAGCTGGATTACTTCTATGAGCACATCAGATTCATCGATAACATGCTGATTGGCTCCGGCGCCTTCGGGAAGAAGATCTCCCTCCAGCCGGCCGAGCCCGGCTACGAGTGGAAAGCTCCCAAAAAAGCCCACAACTCCCACTTTTCCCCAGACGGCGGCGCTGACGAGTTCGATTACAGTTCCTGGGACGCCATGTGCTACCTGGACCCCAGCAAAGCTGGCGAGGAGGATGACTTCGTGGTGGGCTTCTGGAACCCCTCCGAGGAAAACTGTGGCACGGATATTGGGAAGCAGTCCATCTCCTACGACCTCCACACCGAGCAGTGCATCGCCGATAAGAGCATAGCCGACTGTGTGGAGGCCCTGCTGGGGTGCTACCTCACCAGCTGTGGGGAGAGGGCGGCCCAGCTGTTCCTGTGCTCCCTCGGCCTGAAGGTGCTCCCGGTGATGAAGCAGAGTTCAGGGGGGTCGGCCGAGCTGCAGTACGGCTGGCTGAAGATCCCTCCGCGCTGCATGTTTGATCACCCGGATGCCGAGTGGACGCTCAACCACCTCATCTCTGGCTTCGAGAACTTTGAGAAGAAGATAAACTACACGTTTAAAAACAAGGCATATCTTCTGCAGGCTTTCACTCACGCCTCGTATCATTACAACACCATCACAGGTCCGTGGACGTTATTTACACAGATTGTGGTCCGAGTCCAACAATATTTCCTTTAATAATTTTAAGGAAACACCCGCTCCCCAACCTTACTAAACACAAACAGTACTGCTTTTGGAATTTTTTTATACTACTTTATTTAAATGACCACTCATTACAACAAATACAAGTATTATTATATTTTATGTTATGTAATGTATAAGAATAAGAATAATAAATGTATAATTTAATATAATAATATATGATTTATTGTTAAAATTATTATTATTATTAATAATAATAATCATAAAAATAAGAATAGTAATAATAAATTAATTAAACCATAATTGGATATAATGTACAATATTATATTAAATTATTTTTTAATTTATTACTGTTATTATTGTTAAATTATGTAATAATTTGATAATAATTATGATTTATTATTTTATTATCATAAAATAAGCTATTTAGAATTTACAATTTTTTTTATTATTACTGTTATTATTTTTTTAATTTTATTATTTATTATTATGACTACTACAACATATTTTTATGTAATTGTCATTTACAGAAAGCTTTTACATTATAGCTTATATTTAATATAATAATGATTATTATATTCAATTATATAATAAAATATTATGCTTTATCTTATAACCACAGTTGATTTAGGTTACTCACATAAAATATATTGCATCGAATTTACAAAAAGTATTTAGTACTGGTATGCCAAGCAACTCCAAGTGTGAGATATGAAGTATTCTGATTTATATAAGTATCTTTTTCAATTCAGCTTTTTTTATATTACATCAAAAAATCAGACTGATGCAGTTAGATCAGTATATTTGATTCAAACCAATAATTCATGAGATTTTTTTTATTTATTTATTTGAAAGATGCGGCTCGAGAATCATTTGTCTATAAATCAACATACACGCATTGCACTGTATGTTTGTTGCACCTGGCAAGAACAACCCTACAAAAAACAAATTCTATATTTTCACTTGTGTTTTTTACAATCACTTCATATTTCTTGTGCCTGTGACCCTGTTGTATTACTGTTCTGTGATATTAATGGTCTCTTTTTAAACTTCTTTGTTCAACTCTGAACTTTGAACAGATTGTTATCAGCGGTTGGAGTTCCTTGGTGATGCAATTTTAGACTACCTCATAACAAAGCACCTTTATGAAGATCCCCGGCAGCACTCCCCAGGCGTGCTGACCGACCTGCGCTCTGCACTTGTCAACAACACCATATTTGCTTCCCTGGCTGTCAAGTACGATTACCACAAGTACTTCAAAGCTGTCTCGCCCGAACTGTTCCACGTGATCGATGATTTTGTGCAATTTCAGCTGGAGAAGAACGAAATGCAAGGAATGGATTCGGAGGTGAGCCATCATCTCAGCGTTATCTGTTAAAGATATTAGGCCTTGGAAATGATTGTTTCATTTATGCCATTGTCAGCATATATATGGATAATATTTCATAAAGATTTAGTACCGTGACATCCTATCACCAGTGGTCATCGGGAATCTGGTCTGTGTTTGTATTTGTTTTCGTTTTTGGCTTGTAAAAATGCAGTTGGATTTAATTTATTTTGAAATGGTTATCTTGGCACTGAATCTGGCCTTGTTTGACTGGAAAGCATTTTATGCCTAAGGGACAACACTGGATACTGAAAGAGGAAAGACAAATTGAATAAAATAAGTAATGTTCCCCCTAATTACATAGCTGGGTAATGTTGTCCCCAATATTGGACATTTAGGTCTTTTAAGCGTAATACTAAAAGTAATTGATTGCAGTTCATTTTGAGAGGAAATACCATTACAGTACAGCAATCCTGTCAGTTCACATTTTAAGTTACGACCACAGTTCTGTTTTTCTGCAAACCATTTTCTGCTGTTGTTGTGTGTGATTAGTTTGGGGATGTGAATTTGACATGGATAATACAATCACTTCATATTTCTTGTGCCTGTGACCCTGTTGTATTACTGTTCTGTGATATTAATGGTCTCTTTTTAAACTTCTTTGTTCAACTCTGAACTTTGAACAGATTGTTATCAGCGGTTGGAGTTCCTTGGTGATGCAATTTTAGACTACCTCATAACAAAGCACCTTTATGAAGATCCCCGGCAGCACTCCCCAGGCGTGCTGACCGACCTGCGCTCTGCACTTGTCAACAACACCATATTTGCTTCCCTGGCTGTCAAGTACGATTACCACAAGTACTTCAAAGCTGTCTCGCCCGAACTGTTCCACGTGATCGATGATTTTGTGCAATTTCAGCTGGAGAAGAACGAAATGCAAGGAATGGATTCGGAGGTGAGCCATCATCTCAGCGTTATCTGTTAAAGATATTAGGATATTTGGAAATGATTGTTTCATTTATGCCATTGTCAGCATATATATGGATAATATTTCATAAAGATTTAGTACCGTGACATCCTATCACCAGTGGTCATCGGGAATCTGGTCTGTGTTTGTATTTGTTTTCGTTTTTGGCTTGTAAAAATGCAGTTGGATTTAATTTATTTTGAAATGGTTATCTTGGCACTGAATCTGGCCTTGTTTGACTGGAAAGCATTTTATGCCTAAGGGACAACACTGGATACTGAAAGAGGAAAGACAAATTGAATAAAATAAGTAATGTTCTCCTTAATTACATAGCTGGGTAATGTTGTCCCCAATATTGGACATTTAGGTCTTTTAAGCGTAATACTAAAAGTAATTGATTGCAGTTCATTTTGAGAGGAAATACCATTACAGTACAGCAATCCTGTCAGTTCACATTTTAAGTTACGACCACAGTTCTGTTTTTCTGCAAACCATTTTCTGCTGTTGTTGTGTGTGATTAGTTTGGGGATGTGAATTTGACATGGATAAGCACAGTTCTCTGTCCTGAGAGGAAACACTTATTTTCTGAGTATGCGAATGGGGGAAAAAAAAAAGTAGAATTGTTTTTGCTCTCTCATAGCTTCGCCGATCGGAGGAAGACGAGGAGAAGGAGGAAGACATTGAGGTCCCCAAAGCAATGGGAGACATCTTTGAATCGCTAGCTGGTGCAATTTACATGGATAGCGGGATGTCACTTGAAACAGTTTGGCAAGTGTATTATCCAATGATGAGGCCGCTCATAGGTAAGGGCCAAAGACGTACAGACGAGTAAATCAGTTCTGCATTTCTGTTCCGTCTGATTGTCTGCCGGCTCATGTGGCGAAGACCAGAAGTTCAGTCATTTCCAAACGTCGTGCCATTTTTATGCGTGATGAAATGCCAGATTGAAATGCTCTGCTTTTGTTTTCGCCTCGTTTTCTAGAAAAGTTCTCCGCTAATGTCCCTCGATCCCCAGTGCGTGAACTCCTGGAGATGGAACCGGAGACGGCAAAATTCAGGTGGGGATGTCTTTGCCTTATACGCAAGCAACCTCTTAACATAATCACCTGCAGAACACATACACAGTAGCCATAATTTGAATGTGCAAAACACTGTAAAAGTTACTGTATGAGTGTGGTTGAGAGCAACATGAGGTCATTTCAAAAATTCTCAATTTCCATGTTCCTGCAACGTCCCTATAAGAGTTTGGAAGCTGGAATGTAAGTAAAGCTGGATTGATACCAACATTTTGGCTTTGGTGTATCAGTATCAACACTAAATGAGCATTTTAGCTTTGTGGGAATTATTTGTAATATTATTATCAAAAATGTGTAGTTTTATATCATTTATATTAATTAAAAATATGTATTTAAAAAATATTACATTATTAATATTAATTATATATACATTCTTATTATCATTATTTTTAATAATAACAATAAGAAAATTTTTTATCATTTTATTATTATTATTATTATTACATTCAAATAATTTAATAAATATAAGTAATTTGTTTTGCCAATTATATTGTGAATGGTAAATTTCTGTTTTACTACCAATATACCCCACAATATAAATTATGCTTGATGGTTGCTTAAACCTAATTTATCTTAAAAAAAAATTATTATTATTGTTATTCTGTAGTCTATGTAGCCAAATGTTTTGGTAAATCTCATTGTTAAAAAGTACAAATAGATTTTTATTAAAATTATTATAAGTTATATTATATACATGATATATTATTATTAATAGTATTGATAATAATGATGATGATAATAATTATTATTATTATTGTTGTTGATAAATATTATTAGTGCTGTCAAACGATTAATCACATCGAAAATAAAAGTTTTTGTTTACATAATATGTGTGTGTACTGTGTATATTTATTATGTATATATAAATACACACACAGTGTATATTTCAAATATTTACATGTATTTACATGTATATATTTAAATTAATATAATTTATATTATATATAAATATAAACAACTTATTTGTCTTAAATATATACATGCATGTGTGTGGATTTTTATGTACATAATAAATATACACAGTACACACACATACATATATTATGTAAACAAAAACTTTTATTTTGGATGCGATTAATCGTTTGACAGCACGAATTATTATTGTTATTGTAAATAATTACATTTAATAAAAATAATAAATAAAAGCTCTTTGTTTTGCAGCCCAGGTAAGATACTGAAATGTTAGAAATGATATTGTGAATGGTACATTTCTTTTTTACCACCAGTACACCACATAGTATATAGTATTCGTAATTGTTGTTATAGCTTAATTAAACCTAATTGAAATGTATATATTATTAATTATTTTAACAGGTTTTTGTAGTTATGTGTAGTTATCAATAACTTTTGTCATTGTTTGTCATATTTTTAAATCGTCATAGTCATATCTCTGTGTTTCTTTCTCTCCCTCCGACAGCCCTGCAGAGAGAACCTACGATGGAAAAGTACGGGTGACGGTGGAAGTGGTGGGCAAAGGCAAGTTCAAAGGCGTGGGACGCAGCTACCGTATAGCCAAGTCAGCGGCCGCCCGCCGAGCCCTCCGCAGTCTCAAAGCCAATCAACCTCAGGTCCAAAACAACTGAGCTTCAGACAGCAGACACCCCAACGCACCAGTCAAAAACACAGCAGAACCCCTCTCGGCACCAGTTTACGGCCCAGCCAAGAATCGTGGCCGACAGCGTTCTCACTGGGGTTGTCAAACTCAAATGAATCGAGTCAAAAGATTTCAGCGTAATTCACATGGGTTTCATATTTCATTTTATTCTTTACGTGCGCAAACACAATCTTTTTTTCTCCCCAGCTTTGTTTGATCACGAGTGCTTTTTTATGTATTGCAAGTGTTAAGAAAAAGGTCAGGTCTTCTTTTCCCCCTCCCTTCCATATTTTTATTAGCATAAAAAAAAGATATATGCTCTGCTTTGTGGTAGTGGTTAAAAAAAGCTAAAGCTCATAGGTAGTATTACAGTGTACATAGTTTAAACTCCAAGGTATCAACTAAATAAGAGAAAAGACAATGACATAAAAACACAAAATTCCTCAATCTGTGCACTAGTGCCAGTTTTGCTGCCGTTTGGCAGGAAGGGCACACGGAAAGAAAGATGGTGTTGGTGTGAAATGTTTTTCTCTATCATAAGATGATATATTCTCAATCAAAATTGCACTTCTCTAGGGTCCGCTTTATTTTGATGAGAGTCATGAGCGTTTTTTTTTTTTGTCAGATCACAGCAGAATCATTTAGCTCTGTATTGTATTGAGAGAGAAATGCCCTTGCATCCTTAAGACGGATAGGAATTTGACATTCCCGATTACTGTAATCAACACTTGAGGATGCATGTTCGTGTAGCCAACCGGATGCGTTGTATAGACGTCATAGAGCTAAGTTATATAAACAAACAAAAAAAATGATATTAAATGTTTATTACCACATATTCGTTGATACTTGGGTTTCAGTAATGTCTTTTGATACTGATATTGGCGATATTTAGTTGACCGTCTTTATGAACATTAGATGTCTGCATAGACTGACTTGACTGACTTAGTTTTGATATAACGACACGAACGATAAACAGGAAGACATATCACCAGGGAAAATATGCTGCAGATTTTATATTCAAAAAACAGAAAGAGAAAAATAGGATCTGATCATTCTGTAAGACACAAAGCACCTTTACGAAACGATATTTTGCTAGATGACTTCACGTGCATCGCTTACCAAAGTCGATACTGATGCAGCGTTGTGAGGTTGCACCTGTTAAATCAAATCCATCAACATTCACACGTTTGGAGATGTGGAAACCAGCCTTTGTTTTAGTGGAAATGTGTTGTAGCCTCTTGTCTAGCCTAAATGTTTTCGTTTTAATAGGCATTCTTCACTTGAATACCTCAGTTAATTGCATGCATTTTTTTTTTTGGTGCTATGTTTAAGCTTGAATTTCTCATCTTTTTGCACTGTAACTGTATTACCTCTTAATTTTACCTTTTTTAAATCTGTTGGGTTGGTTTTCTGTTCTGTCAGCTCGTCAAGCTGTAGACATTGTTTCCCCGTTTGTTATTTCTTTTGGTTTTTATGCTTGAAGGGGAAATGCTGAGAAAAAAAAAAAACGTTCTCAGCACAGAAGCTTGATGCCTCTCTGATGAGCTCGGATTTTCCTTCACATGAAGTTAATTGTGCATCCGATCAGAAGGGTTACTTAACACTTGAGAAAATCGATAGATTGCACTCTGATACATTCTTGTAAGCCATGCATCTCGCCTTTGTCACTGTCCTCTCTTGCAGTCTTACCAACTCTAATTTAACAATTTTTCAGTCAATAAATTAATAGTAAAAAAACAGGACTTCCTTATCTATCATTGCTACCCCAGGAATAAGGGTGCCAATTTTAATATGTAAATTTTGACATCTTGAAGGCTATCTAACTTTTCCCCCTCCTCGTTTTGTCTATACTTCAGTTATTATGTTACAGACAAACTATTCCTGAAGTTACATAATCCCAGGCATTGCTACCTCAGAAGACCCTTGCGTATAGTTTGGCCTTATCATAAAACATTGGTTAATACGTTTGCCTTTTTACAAATCTGAATGGCATTGAGGCACAGTATTGTATACGCTCATCAGCACCTTACAGGGGGATAAATATATATTCTCACGACTATTTGCACTAGAATACATTCCCAGTGACATTGAATTAGCATTTTTCAAATGGAGTTTGCTCTAAAGTGGTGCCTTGTAACACTGATGTAACATCTATAGTCTCTCATCCTTTGCTATTGTAGCAATTCTTCACATTATGGTTTGTATATAGTAAAGGACTTTTGGTGCCATTCTTCATACTGGATATTGCCTTCCGTTTTTAGTTTTTTGTGGCATTGAAAGTTTGACATTTTCCTGCTTCTATATCTCATAGGCTATACAAACGATGTTCTAGCCCGATATAACCAAGATTTCACAAACATTTGAACATTTGTCTTGAGAGTGAGTGCAATCTGGTTCCGTTTTAGCAAGAGTTGAGTGACCCTCTTTACATGATCTCAGTCGCAACCCCAGAGCTGAGTATTGAAAGTCGTTGGAAACTAATGGGTTTCCATATTCCCTCAACCAATGGCGTGAGTTTGTGTATCAGGGTCAATGCGCGCCGGCCCTGTGATATGACACTGTTTCTGTTACCCGTAACCCTCAGACTATTGCAATTTTGTTTGTTTGTTTGTGTGTTTCATTTTTTCCAGCTTGTTACGTTTTTTTTCCAAGCTTCTGAAAGGTGCACACTTTTTCCTTCACCTTTTGTTTAAGCTTTTTTCTCACTGTTGGTTTTTAACTTTCAGAGAATGTGAAATCATACATATGGTGCCACCGCATGGATATGGAGTTTTTTCTTTTTTTTTTTTTACCGGGCTTTTATTTTCACAACCAATAATCAATCGTCATGCCACAACTAGTCCCACAGAACTGATATCATTGTAAAAAAAAAAGGAAAGAATTGGAGTCTTTCCTCATCTGTGGGAGTGTTTTCTTAAAGTGGTCCTCCATCGTATCATATGCTGCAGATTGTATTTTCCTTCATGGTGGAGAATAATTTTTTTTGTGTGTTGTTTTCTTTTTCTTTTTAAACATGTAGCACAAATAAGCATTGCACTCGGGCGCCATACTTTACCTCATGTCAGATCGAGAAAAAAATACAAAATATGTATATATGATGCCGTAACGTTTAAAGGAATAACTTGTGGTTTTGGCCTTGCTGCTGTTTGCATCGCTGGTATTTTACCATGTATTTAAAAGTGATCAGAGAGATACAATGTGCCTGCAGGATATCATCAGAGAAAATACACTGTAGAAAAGTAGTTTCCAATCTTTACAATCTGGGGCTAAATATGTGTCCTACATGTACATTCATGTCCTGCCTTAATGTAATACTTGGAATATGGAATTGTAACCCGTCAAGTCCTTCTGGCATGATTTTAATATGTTGGGACGGCACCGTCCCTCACCCATCACCCCCTTCTCACCCATATTACTTCTAGCTTATATAAATCCAGATGTATTAGTGCATGTCAGTGAACACTCTCCCTTCTCACCCACCTGTATTTCCTTTTTAGACTAAATACATTGTGTAGATCTGAATAAATCAGCCTTAAAATTTATTTTAAATGGCTTTATTTCATAGCAAAGTGTCATACTTTTTTTTTTCTTTTTCCTAAGGACAAAAATACCCAATTTAAAGTGAAATGCACTCTTAGCAGCAGCAAGGTGTTCAATGACAACATAGCAGGACTGGAATGAGTGGCAAGCTCCTCTTGAAGGGGTTTATGGGAATGCTGAGCACCGTAGAGCACTAACAGTATGGCGATTTTAAACGGGGGAATTATGGGCCACAAACTGCAGCGCAATTTCTGTGTTTTTAAGGGACGTGTATTTCAAAGACTATTTCTCATTCATACTGTATCAGTGCTGCAGTGGTTTGCATTCTGCACCTTATGGATCACAAAAACCTTTAAATATTCTGTTTCCCCCTTTTTTTAAAGTAATTGTAGCTGAGTATATCTACAATAAAGTTATGGTATGGTCGTTCATTTGTGGCGTATGTGTGTTCTTTATGCTGTATCTGTATGCGTTTCTAGATCCTGAAATGATGTATTAGATTGTTTTATGAGCTGCGTGGCTGCGGCTACTAATACTGTGTGAAAAGCCGGTCACAGGCCACAGTGTACTGTAAGTGTGGGCTTCGCAGTGATGATCTCAGTATTTTCCTAACCCAAGGAGAGCTCTTGCCTCCCGTTTACGAGTGTTCAGAGGCCGCTCGGGTTTAGATGGACTTGGCAACCATGACCGATGTTTTAATCACATTTGCACAGAGCCTTATGTAATAGATGAAGTAGGTATGAACTGTGTTTGCAAGTGTACTTTTTCACTCTCGACGGGCCTTTTTATGGTCTTGTGTATCCATTTCGCCGCTTACACATTCTGTATGGCTGCATCGATGTTTGCCAAAAGTGTAAAAAAAAAAAAAGGAAAAGTTGGTGCGCTAACTCTTGGTAGGTGAGAAATGACCTCACATCAGCTGTGCAAGCATTGGCACATGTTTTCTGATAATCCAGAGAGTTTTGCCATGGTATTACTATTTCTAATTAAAATTTGGATTCAGAAATACATGTTCAGCAGTATATTATGAATTCTGATTCCTAGTGTGATGTTTATTGATTTGAGACGGTTGGAGACTCGTAATCCCTGCATGATGCTCAGTGTACCTACTGTAGGGTCCAGAAGTCTGAGACCACACTGAAAATCTGAAAAAGATGAAGGGTTTTGAAAACCGAAACAAAGATAACTTATGAATTTAAAAAAATGTTAAATAGCATATTCTCTCTTTCTTGCACAGATAGGAACACACAATCTGAATCCACCAGCAACTATAAACTGAGGTATGAAAGTTAGATGCGTTGAGAGAAAAAGTCAATTTCCAGATTAAATCAGGCACTTGTAAACCATCTACTTTAATAGCAATGAAGCTCAGTCAGAATTTGGTTCGATTTAGAAAACAAAAATACCAGAACCACATGTTTGTCATGGTGTTTAATTCCATTAATGGTGCTCTAAAGACTCTAAAAAAATATTTAGGAAAAATGAACACAACAGTTTGCATCAATTTTGTTGTGTTATGACAACTTCTGATGAAATTTTGTTCAAACATAATTTGTAAAAAAAGTTGTTAGTTTGTGAAAAATTGAGTTGAGGCCCTGGAGCCAATACATTTTATTTCAGTTCAAATCAACAGCTAGCAATACACATGCTAAATGTAACACATGTACCATGTAAATTGTACAAGCAAGTAAGATATTACTTGTCATTGGCATTAATATAGCCATTGCTCATAGAGTTAATGTAGTGTGTACTTTCCTGTAGCTACCTACAACCGAACCATGAGCACTACTCAAGCATAATAATAACCACAAAAACTTATTTTATGTGTTGAACAATACAATTCACTTCATTTAAACATTTACTTTCCTTATCCTGTCCAATGCAAAGTAGTAGAAATCTACTTAAAAGTTTTATTCTTTTTATTCTATTCTTGTCTTAAGACAATTTAATTGTTGCTGCTTTTTAAAAATAAAAAAACATGCAGAAAAGTTTAAATTACACCTAACATTAAGTTGATGTAATTAAAATAATGTTTTCCATTTTATAAGGGTTTAATTCGAATTTTTATTCAGGCTGTGGTCATATGTCCCCTGAATTTCATTTTAGAGTGCAATATTTTGCAGATTCGGATGAAACGAAATACTCGGAAAGTGTTCACTGCATTACTATTCAGCGACACCAGTGACGAATGAGCCAGTTATTTTTAGAGAATCGCAAATGCTTATGAATCATTCAGAACAGTTTCTTAATTAATCTGAATCACTGATGTCATGTCTGATTTCATGACCAAGAACTGATACTGTTATTTTGTAGGCTACGTAAGGCTAGTGAGACTTTAGTGTAGTTATTGACTTGTTCATATGATAATGTATTTGTATGTGTTGACAGATTCAAAAAAAAATTTTTTTATATTTATTAAAATCATCCCAGATGGCAAAAAAATTGCATTTCTGTTTTTTTCCTCCTCAAATTCAAAAGAACTGTTGAAGGCACAGTAACTGAAATCATTACATTTCTTAAAATGTTAATTCCTAATGAAGATATTTTTTCCCAAGCCCAATGGTGTAGTTACAATATCTACCAGCAGGGGTTAACAGGGTCATACTAACCAGTCAAACCTTGACCCCTTGATCCAAACAATGGCAGAGGGTGCAATATTTCATTCATTATTATTTTATTTTTTTTCAATTCTGTTTGGTAGCACTGAAAACACACACTTCACTTTTAAAATGTACATCCTTGGTCTTGAGTCTTTGCGGCTCTGTCCATGACTCCAGCTCTGACAAGGAGTTGATTAAACTGCTTTGCGTCATTTTAAAGCACAAAAAAACAAGTCTCAAACAGATTTTACTGAAGTTCAGCGCTCTTGATGAAGTGCTTGTAGCAGATCACCTGGGCCATGTCTGCTGAGATAATCTAGGAGGGAAAAGTTGAACAAGGCTTTGTTCATCAAAATGTAGATAAAGGAGGAAAATAAATATCTATAGCTGTTGAAAAGACATACATATGCTTCTCTGGTGGAATGCAAATGGCGGCCAGTGCGCTGGGCTGGGATCAGGCGGGGCTGATATGCTGAGTGTGGGAATGAGAGGCTAATGGTGACTTATTACCTGTGTTGACAATGTGCAGGCTTGTGCCGTGTCATTTGAACCATTTATTCTCTGCGCTATAAAAACAAAGAGATGACGAATAAATATGCAGAGGGGGCTCATTGTTTTCCGCTTGCTTGGTTGCCAAAACTTTTTACTGACCTTTCGAGCGCAGGTCCCAAACCAGCGCTAAACCGTCTGTCACTCAGCGCACACGCGCTTACACAAGTCGCCCTTTTGACCTCAGCATCTTGTTTTTCTCTCTTTTAAGCTTCGGGAGCTGGCGACAATTGAAATCGAGCATAGCAGGCAATCTGTGCCGTGCTCACATGGTCATTTGTTTCCCTCTTTTGTACAGCCGCTCTCGATTCCCCTTAACGTGAGGATTACAGTGCATTGCAGTCGGGCCGTTACAATGCGCAGAACTCCAACGGGTTATTAATGCACCGGTTTACTGATGGCCCTTCAGCTTCAGGAACGGGCCTGTGCTTCCTCACATGTAATTAGATCCAGCTCCGTGCACCCTGTCTTAAGGGCAGGCCGAGGAATAACCCCGGCATCAGGAGAGATAAGAATCGCACGCGCTTCAACATATACGGCCCCAAATCAGCAATCACATTTAGCATCACTCTATCAGTCAAATCGCTTTTTCTCCATTGGTTTGTGGTTCTTTGTGTGTCTGTTGGTGACAGAGTACTCTTTCTAGGAATTGCTGGTTGGACGCTTTGGACCATAGTTGCTTTGCATCATCAGTCTACTTTTATTCATTTAGCAGATGCTTTTATCCGAAGGGATTTGTAAATGAGGAATACTACAACAAAAGTGGTTTATCATTGGGAGACTAATGTGAGATGTGCTGCAATACAAATTTTTGTGTCGCTTAGAAAATGAGCGAATGAGCTATTAATACTTATATTCAGCACGAATGCACTAATTTGATCAAAAGGGACAATAAAGACTTTTACATTGTTACCAAAAATTCTATTTCAAATAAATGCAGTTCTTTTGAATGTACTATTCATCAGAGAATCCTAATTTTTTTTTACCACAGTTCCCACAAAATTATTAAGCAGCATAACTGATTTCAACATTGATAACAATAAAAAATGTTTCTTGCGCACCAAATCAGCATATTAGTATGATTTCTGAAGGATCATGTGACACTGAAGACTGGAGTAATAGCTGCTGTAAATTAATCTTTGCCATCACAGAAATAAATTATATTATAAGATAGGCTATATTAATATAAAAACAATTATTTTAAATTGTAATAATATTTTACAATATTACTGTTTTTACTGTATTTTTGATTAAATATATGCTGCTTTGGTGAGCATCATAGACTTTTAAAAGCATACGAGAATTTAAAAAAAAATCTTACAAACCAAATCTATAGAAATGAGATATTATATATATAATTTTAATATTTTTGATTCTAAGTCGGCATTTTTTTTTAATGTATGGCGATTTTTATTTATGCTGGACATTTGTTTGCTTTTATAT